TGAGCTTGTCCTGCAGCGTCAGCATTGTACCCTGAAGATAGGGAAGTGGAAGGAATGGGGATTTTTTGGAGCTGAACGCGCATACCTGGGTTTTCTTGGCGTTGAACTCAACCAAGTTTCGGGTGCCCCACGACGATATATGTTCCAAAACATGGTTGAGCTCAGCGACAAGTTTTTCCCGGTTTCTCTCAAGGTCCTCCCGGCTGCTTGACGATTGCTTATAATAGCAACCGTGCACTGTGCTATCATCTGCGAAGGAACAGCGTGGGCGACAGCACGGAGCCCTGTGGCACCCCAGCATAAACTGTCACGAGCCGCGAAGTGCCTCCGTCAACAAGGACACGCAATCTTCGCTCGCGCAGAAAGCCGGAGATGAACTCACAAAGGCGGCCGGGAAGACCATATGAAGAAGCTTGGAGAGGAGACCACGGTGCCAGACCCGATCAAAGGCCTTAGCAATATCCAGACTTATCGCTAAGGTTTCGCCATGTTTGTTGATAGCTTCACCCCAGAGATGCATTAGATACGCTAGAACGTCACCCGTTGATCGGTTCGGCCGAAACCCGTAGTGTCGATCATTAAAAATGGAGTGACGTTCCAGGTGCCAGATTATCTGGATATTTAGAATCCGCTCCATCACTTTGCAGAGCACTGAAGTGACAGCTATTGGGCGATAGTTTGTCGGATCAGACCGATCTCCTTTCTTGGTTGATCTATGGTTGAGAAGTTCTTTCGGAACCCAGCTTGTTCTCTGGGCTGATTTTCGTCAAGAGCCTGTGCCAATATTAATTTTGTGAAAACTTTGTATATGTTAGTCATTAGACTAATGGGCCGGTAATTATTTATCTGGGTTTTGTCGCCTTTTTTGTGAAGAAGAGTGATTGTAGTCTTAGTAAATTGGGCTGGAATGACCTCTTTATCAAAAAAGGTCGTTAACCAGTCTATAGACTAGTATAGCATCAAGAGTACCTTTTAATAGCTCATTACTAAAGTTATCCTCTCCTGGAGCTTTATTATTTTTTTGAGTTAAAACAGCCTTTTGTACTTCGCTCTTAAAGGAACATGGGGACGGTTTCTCTGACATCTTCGAACTTCACCATATCTACATTATTTGACTCATTGTCGTCGTAAAGATCTTTGTAAAATTTAGTAGCAATGTCCATCATATTCAGGCACTTTGTGATTTCTATTTGTTTGTAGTCTTTGAAAGATAGTATCCATGTTTTTCATTCTGCAAGTTGTTTTCTGGCTTTTTTGACACCTCCTATTGAGTTTTTCAATTTTCATCTTATGTTTGAATTTCCTTATGGTTTCGTTTATATTTTTGCTTATTTTAGTTCTTTCAATCCTATTGTTTTTCCTATCTTGAAGTAGTTGCTGTCTTTGCTTAATTAAGTTTCTGGCTTCTTCTCCTATCTTATCTTTCTTTTTTGGAATATGTCTAAAATTATTATTGATATTTGTAAGTTGTTTCTCGAAAAAATTGTATTATTCTTGGATACTTTTGAAGTCCTTCATTTTGCATAGATCATACTTACTCAATCATAATTACCAGTCAGTGTAACTACGACTACATGAATCTGAAACTTAAATTAACCTAGGAGGCACTGAAAACCATTTTCGCTCAGAAAAGGTAACCTTTTTAAATTGGTCCCTTTTTAGAAAAACCAAGATTATTTTTTTAAGAAGCACTACATAGAAGATTTTATACCATTTTAGAATCTTGATTAGTTACGCCAACTTTTGTCGATACCTTTAATGAACACTACACCATCTTTATTTTTTGGTCATCTTCTGTTATTTTTGTAAACAGCCATATTTATTTGCCTTAGTAAGTATGGCTGCTTAATATAAATATAATCTTAATTGTGCTCCCCGAATTTTGTGAAAAAAAGAAACAAGAACAAAAAAAAAGAATTTTGTAAAAAAAAGAAACAAAAAACAAAATAAAAACAGAGCAGGTCCAAAAATTAAGTTGGCTTATTGTTCATTGAAGGTATCATTGTAATAAGTTGCCATGGTAGTCCAGATGCATTTTTTTACAGTATGGGGTGTCAGTTACCTTGAAAAAAAATCTGCTAAAAATTTTAACAAAAAAATTTAATACAGTATTTTTTGTGCTGAAACTTTAGCAATTCGGGCGTTCTTTGGCGTTGTGTTCAATAGCTGGGGTATTTGGGTTACCATTACAAAAATCAGATCATCAAAATTAGCAAATTTGTAATTGTAGTAGTCATAAATTGTGTACAGGGCGTACATTTTCAATGTTTTTCATTACAATGCTTATATCACAAAAAAAATTACTTCGATTTATTAAATATTTTTTTCTGGGTTGTTACAAACTAGGGAACACCTGTTCCCAGGTTATCATTGAGTTTTGGGACACCCTGTATATTATAATGCCTCATTTAAGTACCTATTTACCTTGGATCCAGAAACCAGTCTATGTCCCTGCTCATCATACTGCAAGCAAGTCACAGCAGATTTGTGTCCAGCAAACACACAGACAATCTCATTATTAGTTAGTTCAAACACATTAATGTTCCCGTCCACATACCCCACAGCCATATGATTTCCCGTAGGACTTGCTGCGATTTGAGATACTACGACATTCTCACCAGGAAGAACTTGTGCCTAATAATAAAAACCATTTCAATATTTATTATTATTTATTAATTATTATTTCAATATTACAACGAAATGAATATTAAAATAAAAAATCTCGAAAAATTGTACTGATGTAGTCAAACAGCTAATAATGTCAAGACTAACGGTAAATCCTGTCTTACCTTCTCTCCAAGCCGCATATCCCAAATAGTAACATGCTCACATGCGCCTACCGCAACATATCTTCCACTCACACCGTTTAACGCCACATGAATGCAATTACAATCACCGCTAGCGATTACATTAAAAGTACCGCTCGGTGCATAACGTAGGTATTGCTTGGTAAGGCCCATTATTAAGTTTTCTACTCACTATAACCAAAAACTGAGGCTCATGTGCACAATCGGCTTTGTTTACGAGAAAAGTAAATTGTTAAATGTCAATTTGACAGCTAGAGAGCAATTATTTTTGGGTACTGTTTTTTCTATTGGAAAAGGCAAAGGCAATAATGCGCCATACAGCCAAGACTGAGAGTAATCTTTTTCTTGTCTTCGATAGTGCTTCTTGCGAAATAATATATTGTAAATAGCACTGTGTATAATATAAAACAAAAACAAAATTATATTAATTTATTTTTTACTACCCACGAATGCATTCATTATATAAAACAAAAACGTTGTGTTATAAAAAAAATGGCGGGTTTTAGTAGTTACATTTTTTACACGAATTAAATACGAATTAATTTTTAGTTTATGCATATAATTACGTTGTGCGTTTCTTGATTATTTATTTAAGCTGATGGCTCTGAAGCCAATGATTTATAAATAAATAATAATTATTTCCGGTTCCAAGCCGCTTTTTTTGCACATTCTTAGTCGCAAACCATTCACTCTTTTAGCTGTTTCGGTTGCAGTTTATTGTTCAATGTTAATCAATCTATTCACTCATTCATTCATATACTTGAACAAAAGTGTGTGCTGCTGAAAATAATACTGTATTCCTGAATTTTCTTTGATTGTAACAAGTAATTATTTGTTTATTTCTTCTGCAGTTAGCCGAGACAGGCTTCAGGTTATATTATGTTACTCAACAAAAGCAGGTTTATTGATTTTCTTGTTGATCCAACGTGTCTTCCCCTAACCAATGTTGTATTTGTGCTTACCGTGGCGAATTCCATAATAAGACCATTTATTTGCTTTCGCAGATTGGTGGGAGTCACGAGCCGTTCACGGAAATCAAATATGGAGAGCAATTCGACGACGGATATCGTAATTTTGAGCGGTAATTCGCATCCGGAATTGGCGGAATTAATTGCGAAGTAAGTGACCTTATTTGTTTCACACATTGAAAAGATTAAATTACACGACTTTAATGAGCAGAAATCCCACCCAGAAGAACATAATAATTTTATTATGTTTCTAGAATGCGTAATTAAAGAAAAGTATAATTTAAAATTTTTTGTCAAGTTTAGTCCTTGACTTTGTAATGAATAATGAATCAAGTTTTAAAGGCATCACTGTAAATTATTGCAGCCGCTTAGGTGTGCACAAAGGTGGATGTTCCGTGTACCATAAGACGAACAGAGAGACCATTGTGGAAATAGCTGATTCCATTCGTGGCAAGAATATTTACATTGTACAAACTGGCACCAAGTGAGTATAAAACATTCACTGATTGGTCATAGGACCTGTTAATAAAATTGTTGAATAGTTCTGATGTCACACGAATGTAACATACAACAAAGAACTTTGTAAGTGTGTTATTCACTAATACAAAATATTTGACATATTATGAAGTAAAGTAGTATGTCTACTACTTGACCATTGCAAATTGTATGACTTGTTTTAAAACAGCAAGACTTTAGCGGACTTTTATCGTAGTTTTAATGTATACGAACATAGATATTTTCTGTTACTAATAGAGATAAGTTCTTGTCATTCACATTGTGTTTTCTGGTTATCAGTTTTTTAAAGCTATGGACTATTTATTACTTTTGTTTTATATATAATAACTGTAGATGTTACTCTGTATTTGATACTCTTTTTAGTTATTGAACTGAACAGAGTATCAAATATATATTGAAAATGTAATTTTTCATATTCTTATATAATTTTCATAGTAGATATATAGTAAAGGGGATGCCTGCGAGCACGACATACATTTCTTTCCTGTACAATTTGCGCACCCTGGGCAATAATCGGCGAGTACCTTACACAAATCCTTTCACCATGATGGCTAGCCTTATACCTCATGTGTTCATACGTTTTGAGTCAATCTTTGACTTTAAAAAGCAGTATAAAATTACATCGAGTATATAACCAGAAATAAAGACAAAATGTCATTTAATTTGTTTGAAAACTATTCTGCCATATCATTACAGTGACAACTGTACTCTGATTGGCCAGTCTGGATTCGTAACAATTGATGGGTGTTGTCAATTGTTTCACTTCAATACGATCAGTTTAACTTGAGCTTTGCTATAATGGACGAAAATTAAAAAATTACATAATTTAATGTTTAATTACCCATGAAATGTGATTTGGTTTGTTATGTAATTAGATGTTTTGCTTCTCCTCTTCCCACAACACCGAATGGAACAGCCCCCCATGCTTAGAGATATTATCTTTATTACAATAAATACAGAATATTTTTGGAATATATGGAGATGAACATACAGGTCAGTTGTTGGTGCTGTACTATTTCAGTGTTCTAATTTGAGATTTCAGCGCAATGAGAGTTGATATTTAAAAGCCCATTTGCCTGATGAGTTGCCAGGGATGGATGGCCCTTACTTCGTCTATATTTCTGGTTAAATACTCAATGTAAAATTATACGGACAGTTTTTTAATTCTTTTTACAGTTTTTGAAATGAAATGTCCGTGTTCTATATGTAAGTTAATTCTACTAATTTTTCTCGTGATGGAGGGAACAACATTGTTTCGTGCGACTGTAATTTCGCTTCATGTAACAAAATAATCAATGGGGATTTTCCGAGACATTAAATGTTTCGGGGTAAGCCGCAACTTTGCATGTTACACCGTAAAGCGTGTAACAAACGAATAATGCTCTAAAAGGTCGCTAAAGGAGTGGCCGCCCGGGGTCTGTAAGGACGACTATGACCATCAAAACAATCAGAGAACGACTTCGCCGAAATCCAAGTCGCACCAAGAAGAAACTGGCTTTGCAGACTAACATTTCGCATGTTTCAGTCAACAGAATACCTACTGAAATATGATCTCATGGCAAAGGTCACACTACAGCCGTCGTAGGAAAGTCCACTTCTTAAATGATCGCCTTCGTAAATTACGATGCGAAACGTAATTTAGTTTGATGCCTGCTTAGGAGATACCATGCGAAAATACGCTTCACTGTCATAATAATTTTTTACAGAAATGTTCTACCGACAAAATAATAAATTTTATGCCAATATCAGCAAAGATGTTCTGGTTTCAGCACAAAATGTGTCACGTACCCTTCGGCCAGCAAGTGTGATGGTATGGTGGGGGGGTATCGTATGAAGGTGTCACTCTGCTTCATTTTTGACAACAAGGCGTTAAGGTGAAACCAAAAAATTATCAGTGTCATTTTGAGACTGAGGTGAAACCCCTCTCTAATAATTTATTTCACAACAAAGAATGAATTTTCCGGCAAGTCAGCACCGGCCCATAAGACTAAAACGACTCAAGCCCGGAAAATTTTCTTGCAAGGAAAATTTTCCGGGAGTCATCGCGACGAAAGATGGCCACCCTCCAGCCCTGATCTTAACCCACTTGACTATTCTCTGTGGACTGAATTGGAGCTGAAGGCCTGCCAAAAGTCCAACAAACCCAGACCTGGATTCTCTAAAGCGGGCCCTCATCAAAGAAGCGAACGGAATCCCACTGGAGAAGCTTCGTGCCGTGACCCCAGATTAGTCAGATCGTCTAAGAGCTTGTATTAGGAATAGAGGCGGTCATTTTGAGTATTTGCTGTAGTTGTTGGTTAGTGTCTACTTATCATTATCTGAAAATATTAAAAATATAACTTAATTCTTTAAATTTTTATGTAACTTTTACTTCGTCTCAAAACTTGTGAACACACGAGATAGTGAATGCCAACAATGCAACAAGACGATTTTCATAGTTATTAATACTAAAAAGTAGTACATTATTTAGGCTACTGATGATGCAGTCCATGAGTTAACAGAATATATTCAAAGGAATCTGGACACTGGTAACAAATGCCTTGCCATTTTCTTAGACCTGGCAAAGGCATTTGATACTGTATCGGTCCCACTATTATTGAAAAAACTAGATCAGGCAGGTGTAAGGGGATTGCAGTGGAAGTTACTGGAGGATTACCTTAGTGATCGTCTCCAATGCGTTCAAGTGGGTAACTATACAAGCTTATATCTGCCAGTTTCCTATGGCGTTCCACAGGGCAGTATTTTAGGTCCAACTCTCTTCCTTCTGTATGTTAACGACATTGGTCAAAATATATCACCGGAATCTGGGCGGTTAATATCCTATGCGGACGATACTGTACTTATGTTCGCTGATAAAACTTGGGCTAAGACGTACGACCTGGCACAAAAGGGACTTAATAATGTTACAAAATGGTTACGCAATAATGTTTTAACTCTGAACGCCGAAAAAACACAATACATCTGTTTCTCCATTCGTAATCCCAGCAAAATTCCTAACGATCTATGTATTAAGGCACATACATCCTTACATGATAATAACGGAAAATGTAATTGTAGTATCTTGAAGCAGGTTGAAGTGGTTAAATACCTGGGAGTATTTCTTGACCAAAATTTGAGTTTTAAAAATCATATAAAAATTTTGAGCGGTAAAATTCGAAAGCTTATTTATATATTTAAACATTTAAGACATGCTGTATACTATAAAATTCTGAAACAAGTCTACTTTGCTCTATGTCAATCATTGATAACACATTGTATTTCTGTTTGGGGAACTGCTAATAGAACGACTTTGATGCCCATTGAAGTAGCCCAGCGTGCCGTACTTAAAGTAAGCACTTTTTGTCCTTATTATTTTTCAACTGCAGCCCTCTATGAAAAATGTGAAGTGTTGACTGTTAGGCAATTGGCTGTACTTTCACTTATACTCAAACAGCACAAAAAACTTGTGTATGATCCCAAAATTGAAGACAAGCGCAGAAATCATAACGTTTGTACACAATCTCGCCGTTTTCGAACCACATTTGCACAAAAATCATATGCTTTTCTGGGACCACATTTGTATAACAAAGTAAATAAGATAATTGGAATATATAATTTAAACAATAATAAATGTAAATGCGTTCTTAAAAAATGGCTCAAAACTTTGTCTTATAATGATACTGAAAACCTTTTGAGTGTCGTCTCATAAATAATTTTTATTCAACATTGTTGTATATATTTAGCATTATTGTACAATGTTACACCTACAAAAATTACTGTACACGTAACTAATTAGTTGTTCTGAGACTCTGTGGATTGAGAAGCGACATAAATATTCTTAATTGGTGATTATAGCGTATTTTACACCTTGTAATATTTTCTTTCTTGTACTTGTATTACTGAGAGGTGGGAACCTGGTGGCCTGACGCACAGGCATTTTTATGCTTAGTTTAGGCATCAGTCTCCCACAAAATTATTGTTCTTAAAAATTAAACTTGTGAACTAATCTTTAGCTATATTTTGTGGAAGAAAAATAAACTTTATTATTATTATTATTATTATTATTTACAGAGAGGTAAACAACAATATAATGGAGCTGCTAATATTGGCCTATGCATGTAAAACTTCATCAGCACGATCTATAGTAGGTGTGATTCCATACTTGCCATACAGCAAGCAATGTAAAATGAGGAAGAGAGGATGCATTGTCTCCAAACTGCTTGCTAAGATGATGTGCAAGTCTGGTTTGACCCATATTATCACTATGGATCTGCATCAGAAGGAGATACAAGGGTTCTTTGATTGCCCTGTTGACAATCTACGTGCATCACCCTTCTTGTTGCAGTATATTCAGGAGAGTGTAAGTATACCTAATTCAATGTTGTAATCATCAGTATGTGTAGAAATATAATTGGTTGCAAAATCAATATACTAAACTAACTCATTGAAAAGAAGTGGTGGGGATAATAAACTCTGTTCATAGGAGTTTGCAACAATTCGTTGCAAATATACTTAGGAAAAGAAATAATATTTTCGAATCTATTTTTTTTTTAAATAAAGCTATAATTTTAGTAGTACTATCGGAACGACTAAGTCACGCACTTAGTGATAAGCAGCAGTCGAGTTCCTTGTCAAAGAGTTCGTCCAGGGAAGTTCTGCAGCCAATCAGTAATGTGAGCATTATAGTTAGGAGTAGGCGTGTTGCGTTATATGCACATATAGATAATACAATACAAGTGAGGATGAACAAGTTGTGCGCCTGATGGTTAGCTACACGCCTGTCCACAACAGCTGCAGTGCCACTCCGAGCTTTAAAACACAACGACAAGTTGACAAATCCCATGTGCTTGTAATTTTACCAGCACTCTTACCCTTCAAAACCAGAACACAGTAATGCTGACATTACTCCTTGGCGGCAGAAATAGGTAAGGTGGTAGTACTATCCTGGACGAACTCTTTCACAAGGAGATCGACTGCTGCTTACCACTATGTGCGTGACTTAGTCGTTCCGTCACTTGATAATCTAATAAAATACACGCGCCGCAAAATGGCTACATGTTGATAAAGGATGAATCAATTTTAACATGTCTGTGAAATTTACAGATTCCAGATTATCGCAACTCTGTGATAGTCGCCCGCAACCCTGGGTCGGCAAAGAAGGCGACGTCATATGCTGAACGATTGCGGCTGGGTATCGCCGTTATCCATGGAGAACAAAAGGAAGCTGAGAGTGATGAAGTAGATGGCCGCTACTCGCCACCATGTATTCCTAGGTGAGTATTCTAAAATTAGCATTAGTCCCACTGAAAGGCAAAGGTCTCCCGCGATACCTTCCACATAATCTGATAGGAAGAGCGAAGTCTTATCCAGGCACGTCATATTTACAATAACTTGTACCATTGTCATAATAAAGAAAAAAACTTACACACTAATGTTAGTAATTACAAATTATAAATATGTACTGGGTTTCGTGTATACATGAAATTTGGTCCAGTTTTTAAGAAATGAACCCTGGACCCTACCAGCAATAATACTCACGATGACGTTATCACTACCACTCTGCGCATCAAGGATGCTGCTCTCTTTCTCATGGTAGCGGCAAATCCATCTTCATAAGCGTCTGCGAACAACCCTGACGCGCATTTATAATTTATAAAAAAACAAATTTTTTAAATTGCGGCAGCCGCAAAACCACCCTAATATTAAACATATTGATATTAAATTAATAATATTATTGATATGAAGTAAATGGTTTATATTTGTAAATCAATAAATGAAATCTGAAACCAACAAACAAATGACGTGACGTCCTATGCAGGTAAGCAAAGAAACGTCATCATATTCACTGTTCGCGTGTTACCTTGTGTTTTTTCCTTGTCTTTTGTTTAATGAGTTGATCAATACGTAAAATTCTTGAAAGTGACAGTGTGCATATAACAGACTTTGTTTACCTGCGAATGACGTCTCGCGTTTTGTGTTGACAACTACCGTTTAATTTCAATTAAAATTAAACATAGTTATAAAGACTTGAAAAATATTATTTCAATAAAATATCTTTTTTCTGACTGACATTGCCCTATTAACTGTATATCAATTATGGTAATTTTTGAAACTTTTAAAGTTGTTTGATTCACAATTTAAAATTGGTGCAAGTAATTTTTTTCTGAAGCACAACAATATTTTCTATCTTGGTGATTAATTACCAAAAGTAAGGTATTTTTGTAATAGCCCCGCATTAGGGAAGCCCTGTGTCGCGGTGGCCATGGACTCACATAGACAACTGCAAATTACACCCTCTCACGAGATAAATAAATGTAGGCCATACAAATATTTCTCCCGGCCCGGGAATTGAACCCGGAACCTCGGCGTGGCAGACCAGCATGGTAACCATTCGGCCACGGAGGCAATTAGCCCGTTTTTGAGGTGTGGACTTATTTGTGTTTATGTTTCAGTGTGGACAGATCACGCACTATGGACGTGTCTGTGGGCGTGCCAGTGCACCCAGCGAAGGAAAAACCACCTATCAACGTGGTCGGTGACGTTGGAGGCAGAATCGCTATAATGGTGGTAAGTGTACCGGCAACTACATAATATTTTACATCGGCATAATTAATTAACGTGTTACTGTAAAAACAAATATTTCATTATAACAGGATGACATGATTGACGACGTGCAGTCATTCGTCGCAGCTGCTGAAGTGCTAAAAGAGTGTGGTGCATATAAAATCTATGTTCTGGCTACACATGGTCTACTGTCCTCGGATGCTCCACGCCTCATCGAAGATTCACACATTGACGAAGTTGTGGTCACCAACACAGTCCCACATGAGCTTCAAAAGATGCAATGCCCCAAGATCAAAACCATTGACATATCTGTTCTGCTCAGTGAAGCCATACGCCGCATTCACAACAAAGAATCAATGTCATACCTATTCAAAAACGTCACCTTAGAAGATTAGTTCTTTGGATCTTTTTCCACACTAATGTTAAGTATTAATGTAAGTATTATGTCCTTATCAGAGTTTTGTAATTTGGTACATTCGTCATGTGTATTATACAAACTAATTTACATAGCAGTGTAGAAAGGGTATTTTTATAGTATTATGATACAGCTAAATGCTTATTATGAAATTCTAATAAGGGACAGGCATTTAATTTTATGAATTCCTTTTATCGCATTATACTTTATTCTAGTTTAAGTTACATAATCTATTGTACTGGACGACAGTGAGATGAAACACAAAGAAATCTAAATTGATAAAAAGACTTGACTTTTGATATAATCTCATTTGTTATATTGAAAATGTTACCTCTGATCCATATTTTATTGAAGTGTTCTTTGAAAGTTGTCCAAATGTTTTGTGAATAATGTTATGTGGTACAGTCATGAGCACAGTTACTAAAGCATGTAAATGTGTTGGTGGTTGTACAAATATACTAAATAATATTTTGCACCCTATGTATTGATATTAACTGTATAGTGCAATGGCCATAAAATGTGTATCGTTTTGTTATATTGTATAATAAATAGTTTTGTGGCAATTTGATTATCGTATTTTTATTACAATGAGCGACATAGATAATTATGTGCATATTAATTTTGATTGTAATATATAATCCTTTTATAAGCCCAGCAGTGGGACGTATAAATGAGTTGATGATGATGATGATAATCCTTTTTCAGTTTCGAATAATTTTCTACGATTCTTTAAAATGACTTCAAGGTTCCTTGTCATGGTTACAAGTTTCATATACGACTGAGTTATATATATGAATGAACGGAAACATAAAGAATGAATGAAAGTATGAGTAGGATAGCGCATAACGTTTATTTATGGATGTGAACATCTATATGAATAATAAAGCGAGTTGTCAAAACTACGAAGAGTTTTGCTACTTTACTCTTATTTATTTTGTCGAAGTATTTAATATATAAACAAGGAGGATAAAAATCTCAACGCTTAGATAATAATAGCGATTCAATACGTTTTCTAAGTGCATGTTAACATTCCATGATTCCATTAATGGTTTAATAACGACAAATCCAGTACTGTATTTTAAGGTTATACTTGTATAACTTTTGTGTTCTAGTACATTAGCTCCTAAAATACTAACTAATAAACACCATGAGTGCTTTGAGACATTTATCTCGTATTATCAAATACCAGTGTACATGGACATTCACTCGTTCATTCAGTAATAGGAACATTTTGAAACTTAGTGAACGCGGAATGTATCAGGATATGTTTCCAAACACATCTGCGTAAGTACCTGACAGAAAACATATTTGAGAAATTACAATAGAGCGTCTCTATCGTTAATCCATATACAAAACCTTTTTTTATTTATGTAAACATTCTTACACTAGTATCATACAACATTTATGATAAAAATAATAGAATTACTTTCATGAAAACTAGTGGTACTTTCTTTTAGTTATAAAATACTTGGTACTTGGTACTTGGTGCAACGCGCTGATATCCGCAACTCGACAACAAAGCGCCTATTTTTATTTATAAAATAAAGGTATAATCATAGATTGTTATATAAATTATTTCTAGTAGTTCTGTTTTTTGTGCCTACTCAAAACTTCACATTGATGGAGGTTCGAATTTAGCTGATGTATTACATTTTCATTTCAGAAATGAAATTATAAATTTGCTTCAACATGCACCACAGTGTGTGTATGCTGGTTTTGATCCCACAGCCAACAGTCTTCACGTAGGGAATTTATTGGTTATAATAAATTTATTACATTGGCAACGTGGTGGACATAATGTCATTGCATTGGTAAGCATTGCATGGGTTGCATATTCATAGTCTTGAATGTTTTATTTTTTGCTCATATTACACTTAGTAAGACAAACTTTTGTACTGTTGTCACTCTTAGAATTGATTCAAGTCTTATAGAAAAATAAAATTATATTACATTTTCTTTTTCAAATTATGCAGAGTTGAATAAAAATAATTATTATTTATTCTCTCCCAATTACATACGATTTTAAATCAGACTGGCATCTCAACTTGGTAGACCCTGTGTCTTCTGATGACAGGCTTCCAATCCAGAACAATAGTTTTAATTGACTTCATTAATTTCCATTTGCTTTGGCAAAACATCTCTTTGGACCAGTGTGGACAAAGCCCTAAACCATCTCCTTAGAGCAAACTCATACCCAGCACTGGGGCTTATAGATTGATGCAGTGATAATATTGATAAAATTCATCGGATACTGGAACAAATTACAGTTTATTACAAATAGATCTTAATGTTCCCACGTATAGTTATAGATTAGAGATAAAACGGATAGTGATTTGGCCAGATACCAGATAACCGGCGAGCAACTAGGCCGGATAGCTTGATATCCGACTGCCAGATATTTAGCCCCTGTCGCAAGCACATCGCGTTTACAGCGCGCATCGCCATTATTGATTCATTAGTGAATGATATGAGTGCTGTTTGTTTGTTGTCCCCAATGCAAATTTCTCATGGTGGAAAATAAAAAAGCAGTTACATCATACATTGTCTATATTAAAATTTCTGTCATAGTTTATAAGTATGACATAAGCTTGGCATTTGATAAGCCCGTTACACTCTTGCTTTAATTTGATTTCTTTAATTAGTTGTTTGTGATATAACTAATCTAAAACTTGATATCAGTTTAGCCGAAAAAAAATTCTAAATCCGCTTACATATTTCATTATTGTCGGTACACTTTGTTTATACCAAAACAGAAGATCGATTATTATCCGAAGACAGTTCGATCGATCGTAATCGCGAACATTTAATTTGATGGTCTGGTAATATCGAGCAATTTACCGTAAAAACGTAAATTTTACAAAGTTTGAAGAGTTTCTAGCGAAAACGTGTCCTAAGAGGCTGGCCTCGTTTATGAAAATAAACAGAACCAAATTTCACCACTTTTCGCAGAAAAACTTTTAACTTTTAAAAATTAGCTTTAGTACATATTTAAAACTGTAGATGGCGCCACTTAAAAATAATAAAGTATTGAATCTTGATACTTTATCAAATATAAATAATAATTGGTGAAATCAGTAAAGTGTCGTTGAAAAAATATAAAGTCTTGTACTTTCCATATGGTGTACAGTCAAGAGCACATCAAGCTTGACATTTTGTACTTTCGACCGTTTTAATGGTAAGCGGCATAGAGTTGGATTTAAGTCTTAATTGTAAAGCTTGATGTGCTTTTGACCCTGTACTTTTTAATTTGTTAGTTTGCTATTGATTGCATAGATGGTATTTCTTTGAATGTGTTCACGAAACTAAGCAACGTTTCAGCACTGACTTTTTAACCGACTTCAAAAAAAGGAGGAGGTACTCAATTAGGCTGTATTTTTTTGTATGTATGATAACTCAAATTGTATAAAATAAATACGATTTTGATGATTCTTTTGTTGGAAATCATCTCAGTAGTGGTCCCATTTAAATTTGAAGAAAATATTCCATCTCTAAGTGTAGCAAACTAGGGGATGATTCCGATGTCGCGCACTTTCCGGTAACCGATCAGAAAAACTTGGCAAACAGATGTAATTCCGCGTACTTTTAAGATCAGTTTTTTTATACTTTAAAATATAATTAATAAAATATAAATATTAAAAATGGTTTTTTTTTTAAATTGTTTGTATATAATAATCAACGCCTGAACAGGAGCAAAACTTGAAAGAAATGTAATAATAGCTGCCATCTTTAGAAATACCCGTGATACGATTGTAACACTTGTCAGTGTTACAATCGCGTCGCGGGTTTCCTTGGTATCATCTATTGATCAGCGTTAAGAATCAAAATAAGCGCCCGAATAAGTTACGAGTGCGACATTTCTTTGTATTTTTAAAATTTTATTTATTCATAAAAATCATCATATAACAGTTATTTACCCCTGCCAAACTAGAAACGGTTTGTTGGCGAGCACGCTCTTACACAGAAATAAGCAGTTCTAAATATACATATAACTGTAAGTAAGTACAAGTGAGAAAAAATTTCTCCTTAAGACTACATTTCAACTTAATTTCATTTATGAGATTGGGTATCTGTACTAGTACAGTGTTAGAATAACTGTGCTATTACTATCCTCTCTAATCAATAAATCGATTTATTTGGCGTATTGATTGTGAATCTTTCTCAGTTTTGAACATCCAGTATCCGGCCGAATATTGATACGCTATCTGTTATCCGGCGGGATAGTAAAATTAGGCTGAATACCGGATATCCGTTTCATCTCAAATGCTGGCTAGAAGCTATCCCATCTCTACAGTACAGTACTATTTTATTGCCTATAAGCTTTAAAACACCTACATAAAAATATATCTTACCTGTCTTCACCTCGTTTTCTTATTTTAAGTTGTTGTTTTATATTTTCGTTACTCGTGGTCCACAAATTTACATTTTCAGATAGGAGGAGCGACGGGCCATGTAGGAGACCCTAGTGGAAGAAGTACAGACCGTGTGGCTTTACATAAAGATGTCATACATGACAACATCAGCTGCATTCAAAAGAACTTAGTAACAGTATTTGAAAACCATCAGAAGTATATTTGGTCCGATAAGAGTCGATTAAAACCATTGAAGTAAGTCAAATAAATAATAATAATAACGCACACACTCAACATAGCCCCGCACTAGGGAAACCCTGTGTCGCGGGTGCCATGGACACACACATAGACAACCACAAATTACACCCAAACTCACGAGAGAAATAATTGTAGGCCATACAAACATTTCTCCCGACCCGGGAATCGAACCTGGGACCTCTGCGTGGCAGTACGGCATGGTAACCGTTCGGCCACGGAGGCAGTTATATAAATAGCATTTCGCTGTTATAAATTATGTGCGATATAATAGCTGATAGATATCCTATCCTATATAGATATCCTTTGTAACAACCACTTTGCTTAATATATCTTTCAACAGACTAGATGTGGCTGAGTAATATATTACTTACTCTTCAGCATGCCATAAATAGAAAATGTGAAAAATAAATTCCAAAATAGACGTTTGTGTATGTAAGGCGTGGTAGCCAAATGGATGGAATTGATTTAATCGCTTCTCATCCGGGCTCACAGCTCTTAAGTTTTTCGAAATTTATGTGCGAAATTTAATTTGAAATTTACCACGAACGTTTCGGCGAAGAAAAACATCGTGATTAAACCTTCACGTCGAAAGAAGGTTCACAACCCTCAAAAAACGTGTGGAGACCCGAAGCTGCATTGGGCCAGGGTGTTGCCTAAACCCTCGCCTTAGAGACCCGTGCCCGGCAGTGGGACGTATGAATGGTTTGATGATGATGATTTATGTTACAGCAAATTGCTACTGTTTTACTGCAGGACAATTAATCTCACATTCTCTATCTTCTTCCAATTTTCGTGCTTAATTTCGCTTTGACTCTTTGCTAATATCATATCTTTTTATATATATCTTTTTCATTCCAGAATAGTCAACAATGAACTCTGGTACAGAGACATAGATGCAATAAAATTTGTCAGTGAAATAGGTCGTAATTTTCGTATGGGCACGATGCTACTAAAGCAAAGTGTACAAACTAAGCTCAACTCTGAAGTTGGTATGAGCTTCACTGAGTTTGCTTATCAGATATTTCAATCTTACGATTGGTTACACTTACTGAAGGAGTATGACTGCAGGTTCCAGGTAATATGAAGCTAGTTTTTGTATGTTTGTTTAGTATCTAGACCAATATCTAAGTATTGTTAATCCACAAAAATACGTATTCTATTGTATGGAATCTTGAACAAATATCTGCTTACTTTTTAGATTGGTGGTAGTGACCAAATGGGAAACATTAGCGCAGGACATGAATTAATTAGTAGAACGGCGAAGAAGGAAGTTTACGGTAAGTCAATTTAGTTGTCTAGAAATAGTAATAAGAACTTTCCTTCGTAAGTTGCCAACACTGTTACCGATTTCCGCAAGACTGGGCTAGCATTTTACAACAGTATATTGCGTAGTACAATAGATACCACCAAGTCTGACACCACCTTTCCTCGGAAGGAGCTACAGCTTATAACCATGTGTTTTGTTTTAAGGTTTAACGTTACCTCTAGTCACAACAGAAGAAGGTGACAAGTTTGGCAAGTCAGCTGGAAACGCTTTGTGGTTGGATCCTCACAAAACAAGTCCATTTGGCCTTTATCAGTACTTCATTAGAACTAAAGACTCGGAAGTCGAGAGATTATTGAAGCTATTTACATTTTATACCCTGGGAGAGATCAAAGACATTATGTTCAAGCATAAAGAGCATCCTGAACAGAGATATCCACAACAATGTTTGGCTGAACAATTAACCACTTTGGTTCATGGAGGTGTGTATAATATGCATGTGTGTTCTTTAAGATTTATTTATTTTTCAGACTGTATGATTTAAGTCGCAGAACCAGCGTAAAGGGGTCCTTATTTTCATTAACCTGGTAATAGATTAATCAAGAAACTTTGCAGAGGGCATTAAATCTATTCTTTATCTGCTTCTGGCCTTCTCTTTAAGTATGTGTTTAGAGAATCACCATTTTGGGCCGTCTCGATGGAGACATCCTTTAAGCTTTAATTGCTATAGAAGTCTACTTTTTGGGATGTATCTGACATATTTATAATAAAAATAAATCTTTTATTTATAGAAGGAGGGTTAGCTAAAGCGCGTCGAGTTACAGATGCGATATATAACAAAGACGTGAACTCGCTCGTTTCCCTAACCCCGACAGAGATGGAACAAGTGTTCGAAGGCGCGCCCGTCGTTAACATGCTACTGTCGCCTGGCATAACTGTATTCGATCTTGGGATGAAATCTAAATGCTTCCCTACGGAGAGTAAGTAGAAAACTTAAGTATGCTCTCGATTCCATAATCTCAAATCTCAAGTGTCAAAAGATAATAGTGACTTGGTACCATAATAGAAAAAATCTCGTCGTCAAAGTCACTGGGAGATACAAATACGCAAGAAATGGTTTGCTAGAAGTTCTTTGATTTTTAATAAAATATACACATAAAATTATCAATTTGTAAGTGGAAAAAAGTAAGCTAGCTAGCTATTTTTTTTAAGATATGATGTGCCTATCTTTAATATGTTATCTGCACTAATACTTATGTGTTAGATTATGGGTGTAGGTGTATTTGTTGAACTTTGTATCAAACTGTTTGTTTTTGTGTATGGAATACGCTTGTTTGTTTTTTAATTAAAGAAAAAAATTTAGTTTCGTTCTGTTCAAGTAGGGCTCATTAAAGTTCTTTGAACTTGGAAAAATCGTGCTAGAGCGTGAAGCTATTGTCTCGCTTTTTTTAATTTATAAATAGCTCCTCTTTTTGGTAAAAACATTTAAAATTATGGTAAAATAGGAATATTATGTTCTACACAAGAATACAATTTTGAAGACTATGTAGTTTCACAATTCTATATAGCCGGGTCATAGATCCATTTGACTAGTTTGTTAATCAGGGCATTGTTTTGCGCGTGTAATATTTTTGTTTTAATTTTGACCATTTTAACCATTGACTTACAAATAAATGGACGACGGGTCTAATACAAAAACCACGAAAAAAATGTCCCAAGTCAACCTATTCGAAATTTAAATTGTTATTTCATCGCAGTATCGCGCTGTCCGTAGAACAAATGAAGACTAAAGCGGAGTGTGGCGCTCTGTATACGATTTTAGCGCCTTACAAGTGCGGACACTTTTTAGCGCGGACCCGACGTCCATATAATTGTAAGTCAATGATTTTAACGATAGACATGTAGTTTTTGTGCATACCAAAAGCGTATCGGACATCGCAAAATACGTATAGGGCATTGACTTTATAATTGTAAGTCGATGGTATAGGGTCTTACTTTTTTTCTCTATATCTATGGTCTTATTCGATGGTCTTGCCCTTTTTTCCTATATCTATGGTCTTGCCCTATCATCTGTGTTTTCTTTTTGTATTTCTTACTGTGTGCAGTAAACAGTATTTATATTGTATTGCATAACGAAAGCCCATTTGATGTTCAGGCACATCTCCACTTTCCGTTTTGATGGTGAAAAGGTACTTTGTACATCGTAACGATATTGTCGGTTGTTTCAGGTGACGCGATGAGAATCATCAAAGCCGGCGGGTTTTATATAAATCACCAAAGAGTACAGAAGATTGACGAAGTTATCACGGAATCCGCTCATATTCTTCCCAACTTAGTTTCGTTGTTGCGAGTTGGCAAACGGAACTATTACATTGTTAAATGGCAAACGTAACAATAAATTCTAAATAGAACACTTCAACTTTTATTCGTTAGTCAAAAGAAACACACACAGATATTTTATGGTATATAATTATTGTTACTTACAACAGAAGCTGTATACTTGTAGTATAATAATTATGTATAATAGAACGCATATCACATAAAACATTGTAAATACTACATAACATACTTAAGCCTAAATTAACTGAAACAGCGTGGATTATTTATAACTAATGCACTGTCGGGTTTTCGTAAATACATATTAAAAATATGGCTACTTGTCATACAACACATTTGTGCAGCGACCCGCCACCGCCGGCGCCGGTGCGGGTCTCGCTCTATAAAACTTCCTAATATCACAAGGATTAATTGCATCATTTTATACATTATTTCACCAATGTATACAAAAGCTAAATTGACAAATGTTGTCGATACGTCTTTTTTGGGAATTAACAATTTCACAGTTATTTTTTAACATTTAAAAGCCACAAAAGCGAATACTCTGAAAAGTGATATTCTATCACGAACATTACTTAAAACAAGTTCACAAAAATAAATAATTTGCGATTAGCGCCAAAAGAAAAAACTTATCCTAGCATTTCAACAGTGACTGAATAACGGCAGTCGACTTTAGCAGTCGATAGTGCAAAAATTTAAAAGACATGATCAGTCTATACGAATCGCCTCGACGACTGCGAGTTGTCATAAGAGCAATAAAATATGTACAGATACGAAAGGATGAATAAATCTCAGGGCGTGAGCGGGATAGGTGTTTGGTATCACGTTCGTGGTAGGGGTCACGGGTGTGAATTCTCGGCTCGGGTTAGAGGTCGGTGCTCTCGCCGTGTGTGGAGGGCGCGGGGGGTGCGAGAGGAGCGGGAGGCGTGCAGGGCGGCGGCGGTGCCGGCACCTGCGGCCGCGGGGGGCGCGCGGGCTGCGGCCGCGGCGACAGCGGCACGTCCGTGATGCTGCCCTCCGACTGCGACAGGTGCCGCGACGCGCTCAGGCATTTGGGCTGTTCCAGCTCCGCGTCCTTGCCACCAGAGCTGTGCGTGCGCTGCACGCTCGTCCGCGTGCTCTCCTCGCTCTCGGCGGCCGGGCCGCCCACTTGAATGATAGTGGGCTGCTGCTTGTCCACAGAGTAGATATGCGTCCGTTCTAGCACCGTGGGATTGAGCTCTGCAGTGTCCGGAATGGAGCCCCGCTGGCCGCGAAAGCTCTGAGGCCGCAGCGTAGCCGGGCGTTCGGGCACGGCCGGTTTGGCTCGCAGTTGCACTTCTACGGTTTCCTCGACCGGCACGGGCACTATGGACCTCGGCGCCGCTACGGGCCGTGGCGGCGGCTGTCCGCTGGGCTTCGCCGGCGGCTGGCTTCGCGGAGCTGTAATTTTATCTGTTGACACTACCCCGACAGACGCAGGTCCGCTCGCATTTATTCTACCCACTATGGCCGATTGTGCGACCATATTTAGGACGACGACGTTAGAATCGCCTTTCTCAGCAGATTTCAGATTTTCAAATCCTTCTTTCTCTAGTTCCAAACTCTGTCGTCTCGTGTCTGCGAGGTTCTCGCGGCTGGCGCTTCTAGCTGCAGCCTCCTCTTTGAGGGCCTTGCTCTGTCTATATGTAGATCGGTTAATAGTTTGAACTCCCGAGATCACTTTTCCCGTGTCTGAAATGACGGGTCTCGGAGGTTTAGCTGGCTTTTCTGGTTCTGTCTTTGTACTGGAAGTTTGTTGTTCCTTTGTCTCTACTGGCTGCGGTTGGAGTTCCACTTTTTTATTCTTGTCCGGCGTAAAATTGGGCGGCACGGGAGCTAAAGGTTTATTTTTTCGTCTCATAAAAGGTTTAGGACTACCGTGTGGCGGACTAGATTGATCAGAGAGGGAACTGTTAGACTGTGCTTTCTTAATGTCGTTCTCAAGTAATATCAAGCTAGTGTCGTGACTATTGCTCCTAGAGTGTCGACTGGAACCTTCAAGTTGTCGACCGGAAACTTCAAGACTAGTTCTGTTTTGTCCTTGGTGATTATAGTCAAACATGGACTTACTCATGTGATGGTAGTCGCCGTTAGATTGGTCTTGGTTGAGAGCGGCAGTTTGGTTGTAGCCGTGGCCAAAGCTAGGCGTGAATCCATACTCGCATTGGTCAGGAAGCAGGTCTTCTTTGGTGAAAGATATGAAAAAGTTTAAATCGTCTTTAAAGAACCAGTCGGCGTGTTTGATTAGCAGCTCCACGGCGCAGTTGACGACTGTTGTCATATTCATATCGAATGTGCTTTCGTCCACTGCCCACAGTAGATTTGGCGCTATTACAATTGCTAAATTTGACGGAGTCATTTTGTTTACGTTTTGGTTTTGCGTTAGAGTGGACAAGAATTTGATAAGATACCTAAGATTTTGAAAGTTTGCGTCTGGAAGCAAATGAACGGCTTCCCAGAGAGCATTTAGTTTTGCTTGTTCCGAAGGTTGACGGGACGCGGCGATAAAGTTTTCATACAAGCGATACGTCAGGAGAGGCTCGGGCAGTTCTCTCAGGTATGATTTGAGAACTGATGCTACGACGTGCATGTCTCTGTAGTCCCGAGGGAGAGGGACGGTGAAGAGACCCGCGTCGAGAGATAATTTCATTCTTCTTACTTTCGACGATCCTAGGTAGAGCAATATTATTAGATTAGTTTATAGTTAGAACAAACAAATTAATGTAATTAAATTTGCATTGAATTGATATTAAATTATTTTCAGTGAAATTGCTACACTAGTTCGTTACAATTATTAATACAAAGATCGAACACTTAGAAAAAATTCCTTGAATACGGCCGGATCGAACCGACGTCTTCTAGCAGACCGTGTCAGACGCTATGCCAACCAAGCCACGGAACGAACCAGCGGACCTCACGAATTCCATATGCTTATTGTAGGACCTTTGTATATGGTTTTCAGTGACTTTTTAGCCGTAGCGCCATCTATGAGAAATCTATCAAAGTATTTTGTCACCCAGTTAGGTAACTTTACAGCTACCAGCCCTGGCTAGAGATGTCTAATGTAGTATAATGTAGTATATATTTATTGATACATACCACCAGCAATTCTAAACAGACCCTCTTCATTGAGACCGAGCTCGTGCAGTGTGCACACGCACAGTTCTATTGGAAATGCGATAGTGCGACTTGTCACACGCAAATGCTCTTCGAGTGGGTAACCAAATACTGGCTTCACTGAGCTGTCATCTGTAAGAACGAAATGTTAACTGTTAATTTTGTAGACAGTAAACAAAAGTAAGTAAGTAAACGGGCTGAAGAAACTCACTGCCAAGTGGTGCTACTTTACAAATGGATATTCAGAAATATCAAAAGAATGAAAGAAGAAATGAAGCATGAATTTGTAAACATCTCAAAAATTTTATCAACACTTTGTTACCAAGTAAATAAATGTGAATGGATTATTTGAATAAATTTATATTTCAGAAAATTGTACACACCTGAGAAAGTACAATCAAATTAATTTAAAAAATATGTATAACTAAACAAAGTAGGCCATATTAAGTAATCTAGTCAAAATAAAGTTTATGGGCGTATGAAAAAACCTAAAATACTTTGGTTATGGATAATATGCTATTAGATTTTGTCTTTTTTTTTCGATTGAAATATCTTTTCTAGAATAATGCGTATTATTCTGTTAAAGAATTTTATGTTATAATGATTACATTATTAAGTATAATTATTATCCTATTGTACATGTACAATTATATACGCTTCACAATCATGCATACAATCATTATTTTGACAATAATGAATAATTAAATTAGTTCCTACACTATTTCACATAATTATATTAAAATTACGATTGGTTTACGATAGTACATAACTTGTACTGGATACTTATATTTTTTTTAATGTAACATTTTATTACTACTGTTATCTGTGACGATTCTTGTAATAAAATGATTATACTGCGATGTAAGGATGTAAACTTTACAAGATGATAAATAAATCTAAATCTATTTTTAATTCGAAGGCTCTGGGACTCGGGCAGCCGACGCCAAAAACAAGTTACCTACAAAACGAGTGATATCATTAGAAGGGAGATAGCATGAATGTGTTAAGATTAATTTATGTAATACTTCATTCATACTTCACATCATGTTTCTGAATATCGTTCGTATTAATGTTCCAAATTTTTCCATTTTTCAGGAAGTCATTAAATTATCACAGTTTATAGAAAAATGTATCAAAGGAAACTGGACGATTTGTGTTACGGAGGGTACAAATTAAAGCAATCTGCCCCTAATAAAGTTTGATATTTTTACAAAATTTCTGTACTTATAGCTCTAAAGTATTTCACAACGTCACGATATATATAAGTACGCTTTAGAACAAAAATTGGGATTTACCCGGAAAATTTAATCTAAATTTAGGCGCAACTAAAAATATGAATCAAACAACAAACATTGAATGAATCACGTAGGTGTTATCGTGTTTCTTTCGACAAGCTTATCGCACGGCTAGCAGGAACACGAACAATGTTCGATCAATTACACGGCATTGTCAACGATCAGAATGCCTGGCTACTAATTGCAGATGCAGTTAACGCCTTACCCTTGCATTTGTTTAGTTAAGCGACGAGAATTTCTTGTTAGGATATATGTATATATAGATTGAAAAGTTATGGTCCCTTTATTTAGAGTTGTATGCATGTTATCCATTAAACAACAAAAAACATTTTTTGAAAAACAAAATACAATGGCAAGGGTTACGAGCCGGAACCATGAATTGGTCTGGTAGTGCAGATGGGGTGTGAGCTGCAAACCATTAATCTATAATTAATATAATTTTAATTTCTAAAATCCAAACAAATTGGATATGCCTGTCTCTAAGACTCACTATTTAATTTTGACGACCTCTGTGGTCAAGTGGCTTGAACACCGGTTTTCATGGTGTCGCCATCTCCGAGGTCTCGGCTTCGATCCCCGGCTGGGTCAATGTAGAAACTAACTTTCCTATATTGTCTCGGGTCGGGGCATTTATGGTATCGTCGTTGTTTCTGATTTCCATAACACAAGTGCTTTAATTACTTACTTTGGGATTGGAGGATCATGTGTGATGTTGTCTAATATTTAATTGCTACAGAATAAAAGAGATAATAAGTTTGATTGTGCTATCAGTTAGCCGTGACCATGAGACCTAGCCTGGATGAGACCTGGCCTGGCAAAGGCCTGAAATGTTGATTTGTTTGAAAAAACTAATATATAAATAACTAAGATTTAGAATGTTTCAATTTATAATTAAATTTTTTTTTCTTTTTAAATTTGCTTCTATACCGGTCTGTCGCAATGTAAATAAAGCCTAAGAGTGCAGAGTTCAGGGAGTACATATTTTAGTGGCCTATTACCCTTATTGTTGGAAACAAAGTTATATGTATATATTACTTTGGACAATGGTATTTATGTTACATTTATTATTACATGTTTCAAGTAAAAGGACTAGATATGATTGTTTACAAGAAACAGAAACGTGTTCATAACATTACCAGTCACCTATTCTCTAGTTAGTAAACTGTGACTCCTTATTTTGCAATAAAAATTTCCTTCTTAAGTATTTGTTAAAATATTATTTACTTTGAAAAATAGTTTTCAAAATAGAATACTTTTAGACAGTTTATAACATAACAGGGAGATTGTTATCATTTTGATATATTGTGGATAGTAGTTAGTAGGTAGTTGACATTTTTAAAGAAAAAATATTTCAAAAAGTGTCCATATCTCGAAAGTTACGAAAATGCAAATTGGTTCTTTATGAGATGGGCTCTTTAAGAGGACAGTATAGTTTAGTTTGTGTGGTGCCATTACTGTCAAAATAAGCATAGGCATTTCTTTCTAATTTCTGTTTGTAACTATTTTACATTTCAATTATATAAATTGTAATTTCACATTTGACTGTCAATTTATATCTACTTTTGTGAAATACCTACTGTTAATGAATACTCCTACTGTTGATGAATTGTAAAAGAATAACAAAAATAAATAAATATTTAACTTTTTGCATATCATTAAATAAAGTAAATAATAATTGTTTTTACTATTCTTTTATAAACATTGACTATTAGTGCATCATTATAATAACTGTAACTTACTGATAACCCTCTCAAGTTCCGGAACAGTGTCTGCAAGTGAATGCAAAGCCGATTCATGGTATGCTCTCTGTAGTTTAACATACTGCAGCAATGTATGAGCCAAGTGCGTTTCTTTTGCGACTAGCGCGAACATATCAGCGGCGAGGACGTCCCGAGCAGCTTCTACTCGACTTGCTGCCTCTTCAAGCTCTTCACGTGCAGCAGTTAATTTTGTAGGATTTTCTTCTTTTTGACGTTCTAAATGCTGTGGTAACAATAAATACTTTATTTCATTACGTCAATAAAGGTAATAGGGTTTCAGGGTGGCTTCTAGTCTTTTCGTATTACAATAGAAATTGTGTGTGTGTGTGTGTGTGTGTGTGTGTGTATATATAGAGTGCTACAGCACTTGGATACTCTTGAAAATATGATACCAAAATCTATATATATAATTTAACAACTTATTGTATTTTACTGCCAATTGAACCACATGAATAGTAATAGTTTGAACTGATACTAATAGACTAAAATTTAGAATAAAATTTTGTTAAGAATAGTTGAAGTTCAAACTACATTGATAAAGTTCTTGATAGTAGTGTTAAGCAACCCTATTAATGGTACATAAGGCACCAATAATGTATTAGGATAGGTTAAAATGCTCACATGATATCGACTTGCAGCAGACTCCTTCTCGCTCATAAGTCGACTTAGCTGCTTCTTTGCTTTCATGATAGCCGGTAAATCCTGGTCACTAATAGCTGATAATGGTGCACATACATATTGCTCCACTTTCAGCTCGTGTTCTGCTATTTCATTTGCTAGAAACTTTTCTGTTTTGCCTGTTAAACAAAAGATATTTGCAGTACACTTTCTAAATATAATGTAAAGTTTAAATTAAAATTTATTGATGTCTAAAACTTGGTAAACGTAATTATTGCCCTTTGTTTATATTTATGTAATTTTTGAAATATATAATAATTTTTGCTCACTAACCAACCGTAGAAAATATATTTACAATATTTTTTTTATAATAATACCTAGTGACGGGACGAACAATTTGTGTGACTGGTGGTAAGTGACAAGCCTGTCCATAACATTTGCAGTGCTACTCAGAGCTTTTAATTGCAAAGATCTTAAGGGGCATTGTCACTTTGCCTGTCACCCTGAGATATAAGTAGACAAGCCCCATGTGCCTGTAATTTCATCAGCACCCTTACCCTTCCAAGCTGGAGCGCAGTAAAGCACATTTTATGGCTTGGCAGCAGAAATAGGTAAGATGGCAGTACGTCTCTGTACAAACTATTTCACAAGGAGCATTACTGCTACTAAAGTATTATTGTAATTAGAAACTATTTATATCTTTTGTGATTATAAAATTAAGTACTGTACCTACACTTACCACATTCATACAAGATATATTTAAGGATGCTGTCATCATCATCAAAATTGCTGGCTTCACACATAGACATGCCCAGGACATACTCAGGCAGTTTCTTTAGCCTTTTCTCCCGAGCAGACGGGTCCTGGCCTTGTGTGTTACCAGCCCCTGTGGACAGTCGCTTACTGACTGCTTGTAGAGCATTCCGGAGATGCTCCACCTTCCTCTCTGCATTCTGCAACTCATCTGTAAGGGCCTCCCCCTTCCCAGACCTATGTAAACAAATGCACACTTGTCAACACGCATCTCCAAGAAAGTACATCCTTAACCCTTTCGCGGGCGTAGGCAAAATGTTTGCCAAGGCATATTTTTAAATATAGCTCCAAGTATATTGAGTTGCTTGGTATTCTTTTACCCTATGTAGGTGACGCCATCTCTTAGAAACTCTCGTAACAAATTTGGTTTAACCAATCAAATGCTAGCGTATAATTTTGACAGATTTGTGAAGACGCGAGAAAAGTGAGGCTAGATTTTAGGAGTTCGAATACAAATCCAAAAAAATCAAAAATTCTGCCGTAAGAAAAGTGAGTATTCAATTATTTTATTTGTATTGAATATCGAAGCTATCATATTATGATAGAAGTTTGTTGTTTTACCTAGTTGTATGATAGATATGATGCGAAATATTTGAAATTGCCACTGCCTAGAATGGTGGCAAAATAGTTGCCTACGCTTGATTGTTTATACACATAAAGATAAATAATTGCCTATGCCCATTTGATTTTTGTTTCAGATGCCGCCTCGAAAACATAAACTTAGAGTTGCAGTAACAAACAAAGAGATAATTGAATTATTAACTATACCAGATACTTCGGGATCAGAAGACAGCCTCGAAGACTACGAATCCGAGCCTGAAGATAACCAGAGCTTGGCTAGCTATCTATCTGTTGCTAGCACTGGCCCTTCAACAAATACAAGCTCTTCTATAAATCCAAACCCATCAACCAGTAAACTTATTACTGCTACAGATACGACAACAAACATAATTATTGATAGAATTTTTCAGGAAAATGACAGTAAAGGTGAATGGTCTTCAAGTGACGAAGAGCCATTGCAGACTGTATGCAACAAAAATTATAATTTGGATATTACTTCACAACGCATAGATCCTGTACACGATGATGCTGAGTTGTGTGTTAGTGATGCTCAATCTGATGATTCTGAAAATTCTGATTATGACGAAACAGAATGGAAGAAGGTAAATTTAGAGCAGATAGCTGAAATAAACAGAATATTTCAGGAAGATGGGTTTGATGTTGGTGTTTACCCAATTTATTTTTTTTCCATTGTCTCGCCGCCAATAGAATATTTCGATATTATTATGAAGAGACTGATTTATGTTCCTAAGTTTTAGAGATTTTTTTTATTTTAATATTATGGCTTTACCATATCTCTGTAATTTGTTAGTAAACTCATAAACATAATATATAAATATTAAAGTTGATTGTGATTACGATGTTGATTGTGGTTTATTATTTTATGAATAAAAAACAAGCACAACCTAACCTAAAGGTCAAACAATAGGGCATTGGCAACACTAAGTTGACACCTTCGAAGTCGGCACTGGCAACTATTTGATTACAAAATATATCCATAGGGACATAGGCAAACATGTTGCCACCCCCCTCAAAAAATATGGGGGTTATTTGGGGGATTAAAATTAATCGTCAATGTCCTAAGGGACGTTCTTAGCACCGTTTTGAAATGTTAAAAGTTAAATTAGCCGCGTACTGAGTACTGCCCGCGAAAGGGTTAAACAACACCAAATTGTAATCACACACATAACGCTTTAACTTTCTTGCGCTAACTGTCCAACAAAAACTTTGACTGATCCATATTCGCACCGAACTCCGAATCTTATCAGATTGGCTGAAGAGATAAAACTAATGGGCCATACCTTGAAAATGTTTGATCGGCGAGTTGCTTCACTCTATAAAACTGTTTCTTCATTTTCACTAATTACTTTCGGCGATTTTATTAAAAGCTACAAGGTCATTGGACTTAGTCAACAGTAAAATAATAAAATGATCAAGATCTCGCTATGTCAGTACGTCAATGAGATCATCCTCAACAGGGAATGATGGAATGAAGGAAGTTCAAAATTTGATACGTAAATAATTCCATAAGGCACTACATTTCCATAATTCACTTTTAAGACCATGTATAAAGAAATATTTTGTCGACAAAAATAATTAATTTAGCAACGATAAACTCACTAAAATACACTATAACCACAGACTACTTAGTACTACTATAACATTTCATCTGACTGAATGAAAGAATGATAAAAATTAAAAAAAGTCAACTCAATTTGACAGTTTTTTTAATAAGGCTATGGCCTGGTTGCAAAAACTTTATGCCAACTTGACTGTGTTTTGTATGACTGAGTACGGATATAGTAACAGTTGCATTATACAGATTGTAATTGTTAAAAAAATTGTGCCCAAGCATGGTCCAAGCGATTATTCCATAAATATAAAAGGTATCAAAAACTTTTAAACTGATATCGAAAGTACGATAACTATTGAGTAAATCGACATCAATAACTTTTTTTAGATAACAATAAACATATCTAAAATTTTATCATAAAAACGTTTCCATACATTTAATATGGCATTCATAGAGAGGATTTAGTTTTCGTGTTGTAAGAGGTAACAATAAGTCAACAGATGACAAAACTGATATAAATAAAGCAATAAAATTATCTTTTAATTGATTCAAAATACAATGGCATGTTCAATTATTGAGTCATGTGTGAATATTCCATAAAAATAAATAAAATTGATCAAATTTTTAGTGATGATCGACTCAGTTTCATGTAAGGATCATTTTTTGTTTGGTACGAAAACAATCGGGATGGCAGAAGTTGGCTAAATTTAATCAAATATTTTTTCCATCCATTTCACGCAACATCCTGTTATATAACGGACTTCTTTTGCAAGGACCAGAGGTCTGTTGAACTCGATAGAATGTGTAGGTTTATCTGTGATGTGCTAGCAGACTTCAGACTTTTTACACAACGTTGTTTGGTATCAGTTATAAGTTCTTTAACGCGGGTAGAAATATTTTGCTTCATTTGTGCCATATAATAGAAACTCACTCGCAGTCAAGCTTGTAAGCTGTTGCACCCTTTATGTATTTTGGCAATAACACCTTTGTTTACATTTTTGATCGCGAATACCTTGTGTAGTCAGAAATTATGAACGCGAATTTGTGCCCAAATTAATAGTAATAAATTCGATAGTGGTGTTTATTTCTTTAACAAAAAGTATAGTCAACGTTTGGAATCATAAATGTAGTGAATACAGTGGCGAGGAAATAAATTAATCAAAATGTACAAATGAAGAAACTAAAAAGGGGCATTCAATTCCAATCCGCCATGTCGTACGCCGCGTAATGTAGGATTATGAATGTAGTCGCAGCGTGCATCCTGCAATCTTGCAATGCGTCCTGCAAGATTCCATACGTGGGCCATACGCAGGAAAATGTGTGAGCGACAGATTGCCATTTGTCATGGTAATGAATGAGCTGTTTATGTAATCAGAACGGAACGCATTCGTAGACGGAGGAAGCATTCATTATCCTGCTGTATTGCTGGATTGTGAATGTAGTCGCAGCGTGCAAGCCATTCTGCAATGCATCCTAAGCACAGACTACTTAGGGCTTAGAGGATGGAAAAAAATAAAAGAAACTCAGAGTCGTATTCCAGAACTCTACTCAATGCTCAAGTCAGGATTTGAGTATGATTTAATTAAAGCACTGAAAATCATACTCAAATCCTTGCCATTAGGGTCGTATTTCCAGTGCTTGAAATCATATTCAAGTCTGCTCAAGTCCTGACTTGAGCATTGAGTACAGTTCTGGAATACGACCCTAACAAATTAACCTGAGAGACTCCATACGTGTGGGCCAGATGCAGGATAGTGTGTGAGCAGTCTCCTGCCTGCGCGGCGGACTGCCATTCAGGTAGTGAATGCCAGTTTTAGTCTTTTCTTTTTCCATTAAAAATAATGTAAAATGAAGAATGAACGATTAAATTTGTCGAAATTAGTATTGTTTTGTTCTGTATGTAGTTTGAGTATACACACTGGTTTTAACAGAGAAAGTAAAAAAGTTTAAGACGAATGGTGTAGATAAACTACAAAAGCGCATCGCGGGCTGTCAAATGTCACTGTCATGATCATGTCGAAATTGCCAACAATTTATTTATTTATTATCTTATATTATCCCTTCCTCCAATTATTGGTCACACAAGAAACCCCCCCTTCTTATCAACAGTTTTAACAAAATTTCCAATCTCCCATTCCCTATTTACCAAAATTATATGAACCCGTTGTTTGAAACTGATTTTAAATGTTTAACGTTTCGCCCAACAGTCTATCTTAGTTTTGGCATCATGAAAGATACCCCTGGAGCAAACCAAGTCTTCAACGATATAGTTGAGAGAGAATGGCATGACTGGACTACTGTTTTTACCGACGCTTCAAAATTACACGAACATGGCGACTTGGGAGCCGCGGTTTGGTTCCCCAAGTTCAATGTCGTACTCAGTTTTAAATCCCCCTATCTGAATTCGGTCTTTTCGGGAGAGGCAATTGCAATACTCGAAGCCATTTTATATATTGAGTCCCATAAAATTAATAAATGTTTGGTTTTCTCAGACTCACTAAGTTGCCTCCAAGACATTATTAAGCTACCGTTTCATTCCAAAGACAATTTCTCCATCACCCTCCAAATTAAGGAAGCTCTGTACCGATGTCATTGTGCGGGAATTGAGGTAACTCTGGCCTGGATTCCCGGTCACACTGGGATCAGTGGCAACGAAGCAGTAGACGCCTTTGCAAAGGATGCGACAAGAATTGGCGTGTGCAAATACTGTAAGTGCTTTCCCAGAGATCTGCTCGCCATGACTAAACCCCAAATGCTAGCCTCCTGGTCGGCCCTTTGGCAGGAATCACGACAAACTGTTGGTAGACACTATGGTAATCTCCAACCAAATCTACCCACTAAACCCTGGTTTTTTAAACGTCGCGATTTGCCTAAAAACATCACTTCCACTATTATTCGTTTGCGCTTAGGCCATGTTTGCACACCTGTATTTTTGCGTAAAATCAGAGTTCGAGATCACTCTCTGTGCGAGTGCGGCCTAGAAGACGGTACCTTGGAACACATTTTTTTCAATTGTCCTAATATTGCTGTTCCACTTTATAACTTACTTTCTCCAAAATTCCCCCGCCCCGTTAACATAAACAACCTCTTAACTTTAGTGTTCTCCCCCCATATTGTTACTCTATGTAAATTTATCCACTTAAATAACATATATTTATAAATATTGTTTTGCTGTTTTGTTTTACATTCTCAACTGAGTACTCCCGTAGTCCAACTTACCAACACCGGTTAATGTCCTATTAGAGCTTAGCGAAAATTTTTTTTTTTGTTTCGTTTTTTTTTCTTTCAACTGTGACATTGGCAAAATCATCAGTTCTCATATTGATGGAGCCATAAAAATAAAAAGTGAAGTGAAGTATTTATTTACATCGAAAACTTCGTAAAATTATGGGAGTTGGAATTTGAAAGTGGTGGGAGCTCAGAGAGCAGACTGTTTAATATCATTGCCATAGATCATACATAGACTGGGGATCATTGCTCAAGCGTGGAGTCAACAGTGCAGTTGTGTGATCGTACTTACACGTCGGAGCGTACTAATTCGGTTCATAGGTTTCAATATCGAGCAATTTCCTACACTGAAATATTTTCTCCTCAAATTTTTTTCAATAACTAATATTGTAATCAAGATGGAACGACGATTTGTTAACATAATATTGCTCGGATTCGGGTTTATGTTCGTTTTTACTGCGTTTCAGACTATGGGAAATATAGAGGTGAGTTTTATTTACGGTTTTATGTTCTTGTGAAACTAGATTTCTAATCAAGACTATTTGTTGTTCATTTCACTGTAAAAATAAATAAAAATGAATACGCTACTCGTTCTGCATGTAACAAATTTGAAAAACACGTTACGATGTTTATTATTCTAATACTTTTGTTGATATTTTTTGAAATTTTAAATATTTAAAGAACTTTGTTTTATGATCTGTTATTCATATTATAACATAACTAGTGTTTAAAAGTTACTATCAATACACTATAAAATCAAAACGGTATGTTGCATTGTATAGTATGAATTATTGGATGGACCTTTCTGTTCTAATAATAATAACAATTGGTCTGTAATTGTGGTTGAAACCAGCCAACAGGCTGGGAAAAATAAAGTAAATAATAATAATGTGCCATACAAACATATGAACACACGGAATATCCATGTTAATTTTAGAAGACATATCCATCGACAATTGGCTTCACAGGCAATCAAATTCAGGTTGCTATTCTAAGCCACTGAGGCTTTTTTCAAAACATAACAATAACAATTGAAATTGAATTATTTAAGCCTGCCTCTGAACAGTTGTAATAAAAAAAATCATCATATTTGTTAAAATTTTCGGTCACATGCACATACAAAGTAAATACAGATAAATCATACCGACTCATCCATAGAGCAAAGATCTATGTGCAAGACTACTTGTTCTCAGGACATAGTACATTTCATCCATTCTTCTTCACTGTGGATGTCAGATCAACCATTGTTCGATTTTATATTTCCGATATAAGATATATAATTTCTCAAAACACCTTTACATAGGACTTAGTTTGAATAAAGATATTATTCTCGTAATGTACTTATTCTCTTTTTGCTAATAATCACATTGGACTTTGTTCTTCGAATGAGTCGATTTTACGTCTGACAGTTACAACTGGGTCCTAAAGTTATGAATTTTTTTAAACAAATTTGAGCTATAGTTTTAATCTAATTTGGAATGAAACGTCTGAAGATGCTTGTCTTCCTCAGTCCTTAGTTGATTGTGTTCTAGTTTTCAAGCTGAAGCTGTTTGATCCAGTTAAATACTTTGATATTAAAATTTTAATTTAATTTTTTAGGGAAAAAAAGTTTTATAATAACTGATGTAACATACATTTTGATAATTGTTTATTGAATAAAGTGCATAGAGTCCATATTGATGTTTCAGGGAAATTTGTATTCTTATTTTACTATAGTCAATATAATGTATTGTGAAGTAGATAATTTGATATCAAAGTAACACATCCCGTATTACTATTTTCATACACTATATGACTTGGGGTTTTGATAATATTAAAATTAAACATAAATTTTCTTCCGTATATTTTATTTGCAAGATTTTAAAAGCTATGGTTTTAAATAATATTTACAAAATGACCCTATGTCTCTGTTAGATGTAATTAAATATTTGTTGCCATTAAATTTTGTACATTGTCAAATATTTATTGTACAGCAATACCAATCCAATAACAGACTTGTAGACTTGTTGCAACAATATAAAACTAAAAATACATACTTATTATGCAAATCCCCACTGTTAGGGGTAGGTATTCTGTGAGGAAAGGGTTTGATAACTTAGTCAAACATTCTAGCTCAATGCTGGTTTTTCCTTCACATGTTTTGAAAGAATTTTGTGGACCATCCCCAACATTCCAGTGTTATCATGACTTTAACATTTAAACTAGTTGTACTATTAGTGATCTGATCTGCATATATATCGAGAAGTCTTGGTGTATGCCACCACAATTAAATTTAGGACCACCAATGTAAGAGACAAGTATTTTCCTAACTGGATTATCAGTTTATCCTTGCTTATGATGATACGTCCATACAAAGGCACACCAATGTCCATCCAGGGCCATCCAGGCCGACAGAATATCCAACAACTAAAATCATAAGATAATGAGGTATCGGTAAAGCCTGAGACCAAGAAATGCTGAAGTCATCTCAGGAAGAGAAGGCCTCATTTGATGCAATTTTTTTCATTGTTGAAACAAGCATGTAACATAACAAGGCGAAAATTTCAAAGTAAGAAAGACTAATTTAAATATTATCAACCGTTTTTTAATCTTCGTAAATATTTTTTATTTAAATAATTTCCTTACACTAATACTTAAAGTACAAGTTTTTGAAAGACTCGTACTTGCCCATTTTTTATGCAAACAAGTGTAGAATGTCACCATAGAGTAACCTTAATGGAATATTAATCTTTTTAAATGCGAACTGATGAGCGCGAAAATTATAATGTCAAACAATTTTAAAATGCAAGCTGTCGTTAATTTCCGTAAAAACTCGAATGGTTCCGAAGCTTGAACTTTAGAAAATGAATGTACACCTATAAGAAAAATAAATATATATGCTACTTGTAGCAATTGTAGCTAACTATGTAAGAATACTAATGATGCCACCATCCCTGACCATGATGGAGTCAATTATCAATATGGAAAGCGCGCGTTGCGGTAGCGGATACGAATCACGTTCGAATACAAAATATTAATACGTAATACAGTGTCAGACGCTATACCAACTAAGCCACGGAGCGCACCAGCGGGCCCCACGAATTTTTCTATATGCTTGTTGTCATGTCTTTGTATTTGGTTTTTCAACGACTTTTTAGTCGTAGCGCCATCTATGAGAAGTCTATGAAAGTTTTATCACCCAGTTAGATACCTTTACAGCTACCGGCCCTGGCGAGAGATGTCTCTATTCACTGTATTTTAAATTATTTAGTAGCAGTAGAGCTCCTTGTGAAAGAGTTTGTCCAGGGTACTTCTTCACCTTACCTTTTTTTTGCCGCCAAACAGTAATGTGAGCAATACTACATTCCGGTTTTGAAGGGCAATTGCTATGGACGGAGCAGACGAATTATTCGTCACGTCACTTGGTATCATAATAATAAGAAAAAGGAAGTGTTCCTACAGATTTCGTTGTGAAATTCGTTGTTCCATTAATACCACAAACTAAAAAAGTAAAAATAAACTACAACTCAAGTTTGCCAAAAATCCTTATTGTACACCATACTTGCATAGCCACACATAGACTACTGACATCATAAGCCAAAGCAATCGCTTTACTATTAGAAACTAAGAATAGGTTGTGTGGACGGCAGAGAAAGGGCTACCTACTAAGACAATTCACTACGGCCTACGGCCTTCATTGTTACGTGTGCGCTATTAAAATATTTACGCTATCACTATGACCACCTATATAGTGATTCAATCGGAATATTGTTCTGTGTAGTTTTGATACGGTCGATACTCGAGAATCTATTATAAATTTTTAACCCCTTAATAGGCTTCTTTCGACGTGCTTTATTGTCCTTTTTGCTTCACGATACTGTACTTAATAGGAATGTAATAGTGACTGCTATTCAATCGGTGCGCTATGCTGTAGTATGGAAGCTGTGAACAACTACAGGCCTATTTCCATTTTGCCAATCTTTGCTAAGATCTTTGAGTGTTTGCTTATCCCCATACTTACTTGGCTTTCAAGAGCATAGTTCTCACAGAGCAATATGGATTTACCAAGGCACGATCTACAGTACTAACCTTGTGCAATTCTCGCACTCTCTTGACCAACGCTCGTCTGTGCCATTTACACTGACTTCGGCAGGGCCTTTGGTAAAGTTAATCATTAATTTCTTCTACGTAAGCTTTCCACATATATGGTATTGCAGAGCCTCTGCTGGGTTGGTGCGAGTCGTATTTGCATGACAGAACATATGTAGTGGTTGTAAACGGGATTTCTTTGGATCCTTTTGGTATTTCTTCTCGAGTGCCGCAGTGTTTACATTTGGGCCCATGGTTTTCCAATGTATTTATAAATGATATAGGTTAGTCCTTTAGGCACTCACGGTTCTTGTTTTTTGCTCACTATTTGAAATTTTTCCGGGCTATGAATACCAATGGCGATATTACAAAATTACAAGAAGACATTGACCGCTTAGACTCCAGTGTGACAATAACCAAATGACTTTAAATGTCTATTAAATGTATATGCTATTAAATATAAGCAATTGTACTTCACCAGAAAAACTAAGCTTGTCGTCATTCCTCTATTCACGATTAAAGGTAACCCAATTTCTAATGTAAGCCAAATCAGAAATCTGGGCGTGTTGCACGTTAGCAAACTTCGCTTCCATATCCGAATTCCGTTTCGGTTGGGAAACTATAGGGACTTTAAATCGGCCAGCATCAAAATTATGCTGTACAGTTCTTTGGTGCGAAACGGGTGGAGTACCTACTGTAGTGTTGTATGATACTCTTTTTAGTTTCCAGTTTTGTGGGTTAACTCATTTATGCAGATCATGGCCCAATGTTAACGTTCACATTATCTTGCATGTTGACTTATAACTGCTATAGCATTAAGTTCTTTGTTGTCTAATGCTAAATATTTGAACATTATACTGTATATGGTGTTGGTGAACTAAATAAACAAATAAGAGTGAAAATAAATAAGTTGGGGCATTTGATATTGACTTACGAAATATAGCTATGAATATTACATTGCTTATTTGACTGTGTCATTTGATTTAACGAGTCTTAACCCCCGACCGGTCGTTTCAGACAAGTTTTTATAATGAAGTACCTACTTAAAAAGTAATCCAATAGATACTTTCGTATTTCGTTGTTCTTTAGGACATTGACTTTCTATAACGTATAACGACTAAACTCAGTCAAATATCTCACTTTGCAGTCCTAACGTGCATGTTTTAAAGTCAATTTATTGTTTGTTTTATTGTTTTTGTGCCTGAAGGACATTCCGATGCATACGCAAGTCCGCATATTTTAATACGCCTTCGATGTTCCATATGATAACTTGCCTGTTCATAAATGTCATACTATTATACAAAAGGTTAGGGCCGTTTTATTAGGAAACCTTGAAATCAAAGAAAAAGGAGGTTATGGGTAACTCTCTCAAATGTTAACCTAGACGAAACGTCTGGCTCCAAAGGAGGGTAATGAT